ACTATAGCATGATGCTAAGAAGGCTGGGGCTGAAGTTGTGAAACAAGTTAAGTTCCCATTATTGAGTGGACTATACTCTATCCTGGACTACAGGTGAGTACATGTTATATACATGTACATGTACTTGTTAATAAATTAATTATTATGATAATTATAATAATGATCGTTACTGTAATTTATTGAGGTATTCTTGATTAGAATCAAATATCACTGTATTGTTTAATTAATTTTATTTTTATTAATTGACAGGCTCTTGATGAAGAGTATTTGAAGGTTGATGCTCAATTCGGAGAAAATATTTACATTTGCAGAGAAAGTAATAATAATAATAATAATAATAATAATAATTTGTTTATTTTGCTCTGCTCCTCCCAGTACCTCCCCAGATTAGGTTACAAGAAGCGTATCCACTTTATGAATCCAATGGGTAAGGGGTGTGGTTTATTAGTGGGTGTGGTTAATCCATTCTCTCTCCCCCAGTTCCTGGTCTGACAGGTGCTAAAATGAGTGCCTCTGATCCTGTAAGTATTAGTTTATTAATTAATTAATTTATTTATTTATTTCCTTAGGATTCTAAAATTGATCCTTTGGATTCAGCAAAAGATGTAAAAAAGAAATTAAAGAAAGTAGTTAATAATAATAATTTTATTAATTAATTTATTTATTAGGCATTTTGTGAGCCTGGTAACATTACTGAGAATGGTGTCCTCTCTTTTGTTAAATACGTCATATTCCCCATCATCAGTGGGCAAGGTACAGTCTAACCTACTACACTTTGTTTTTAAATTTACAATCCCCTTGAATGGGTCAACATAACCTGGCCTGTTTGACTCTATTAATATTACAGGGTAACAGTTAATTAAAGTTAATTAAAAGTAGTGTCAACTATTAACCACAGTAAAGAATAGGACGATTTAGAGAGGACGACCCACAAATAGACTTTTACAAATAGCTGAGTATAAAATAGGGCTGGGACGAAGGTCATTTTGCAACCTTCGAAGCTTCTGCATAAAAAAATTCGAAGCCTTCGAAGGTTCGTTGTACATCAAAAATTATCACCCTGCCTCTGTTTATACTGTCAAAGTCATAGTTCAGCCCACTATATAAACTTGTGGTCTGGGTAGACAATCCCTATGTAAACTTTTGACCACATTAACTATTAATAACTACTAATAATGAAGCTTCGAAGCCTTTTTTTGTGCTTCGAATGGCAGCACTTTGAACAAAGCTTCGAAGCTTTGGAAGCTTTGTCCCAGCCTTAGTATAAAATGGGAGGAGATTTGCATATGAAATGCATCTGATAATTATGTGTAGTTTTTTGTCTTACAAAATTTTTGAATGGGTTAACTTAACCCTGTCTTAAACTTTAAATATAAACAATAGTCAGGAGTGCAGCACTATCATTAGTAATAGCACATGTACTTACATCTGCTGTCTTGTTGTTCCTGTAGCATTTGTAATAAAGAGAGAAGAGAAACATGGAGGTGACATTAGTTTCATGGACTATAAAGAATTGGAAGAAGCTTACGCCAAAGAAGAAGTGTATCCTCTTGATCTTAAAAATGCAGTCGCTGAAGAGTTAAATAAGGTAATTAATCATTAATTAATTGGTAATAACTAAATTCCTGAGCTTTTAAATAAAGTTTAATTCTATTCACATTTACATTAGTGCTGGGCGATATTGAAAATTTTGAAACGATACAATATGATACGATATTGCCTAAAAATGAGGATATTGATATTTTTCATCGATAAGTTATTAAGCCACACCCATTAACTTTAATATTACTAAAATGGCTAAATAAAGCTATTTCTGAGAACAATTATTATTGAAAAGCATTATAAAAACCTTCTTTGGCTTCATATACTTCAGCTACTTCATCTACTTTCCAAGAAAATACATTTTAGTAATTTTCGAGATGTTACTCCTATAGTTAAATAACCATTTATTAAGGGTATGTAACCATTTTGTGGGCGTGGTCTTGTTATTTTGATATTTTCTTCAAATTTTTTCGATATTGATAAGTATCGATACCGCATTATATCGATTAAATATCATGAGTTTTGATATATCGCCCAGCACTAATTTACATATCATAACAACATTATTAATTAATAATGTACCAGACTCTGTAATACATTTACGTGTTAATTGCATGTCCATTTGTAGTTACTGGACCCCATTAGAGCTAAATTTAACAGTGACCCCTCGCTGAAGAAACTAAGGGACATGGCATACCCTGGAGGAGAGAGTAAGTGACCTTATCACATGATAATGTTGTTGTTTGTTGTTGTTGTTGTTGTTTATTGTTGTTGTTGTTGTTGTTGTTGTTTACAGAGTCTGAGGGTAAGAAAGAGGGCGGGGCTGCTGCCGCTAATTGTGCTGTTGATATAACAAGACTTGATCTGAGGGTTGGAGAGATAATATCAATTGAGAAGGTGTGGTCACCAGATAAGTGCATTTCTGATACATGTACTTGCACTTATGTTGCTAAATTTGAGCTGATTCCGATCAAGTTTGGATTTTTTAATGATTTTTTTAAAGTTGATCCAAAATTGTACATAAATCCCTGTACTACAAGAACATAAAAAATTAAAAAAAATAAGATTGAGTAGGATTCTAGAGCAAGTTCGTAAAAAAGTAATCTAAACAAGGACAAGTAGGAGTCTGAACGACTTCCAAGGAAAATCCAAAATGAAAATCCTACTCTCGTGACGCACATTCTACTCTACATTGTACTTTTAATATTATTATGTAAGTAATTACAGATCACCTTGCAATGTAGAGTAGAATTTGCATCACGAGAGTAGGATTTTCATTTTGGATTTTCCTTGGTAGTCGTTCAGAATC